AAAAAAAAAAAAAAAAAATCAGCGGCTGCTTTTAAGTTAACGGACAATTGTTTTGTTAGTCCCAAATTAAACTAAGTTCATAAATGAAGGGATTAAGATTGTTGTTACACTCTAAAGTATTAATATTACATTAAATAATGGGTTCTTAAATTTATCAAGTGATAAGTTGTTTATCAAAAATAAATCATTAATGTTGAAGTTAAAGGACTCGCAATACATAAATTTCTATCATGAATTGAAGCTAAAATAAGGTAGGAAGCAAAACTAAACAACAAAATATTGAAATTGAAATCAACCTTGCAAAGTTACATGATTAGGAGATCTTGAAATGGTATAAGCACCACTAAAGGAGAACATCTTCTCGTAATGGTGGTATCTAGGGGTGTTCATATCCGATCCAATCCAATCAAAAATCGATTCAAACCGATATAAAATTGGATTGGTTTGAATTCTAAAATTTTAAAACCGATATAATTGGTTTGGTTCGTGATTTTACCTTCAAACCACCTAAACTGCCTGATTACAAAATAAAATTCGATTAGAAGATAATTTAATTAAATAATATAACATATTTTTTATAGCATTTTAAATTTTCTTTCTCTTAGTCTTAATATTCTACTATTTTTGGATATTTGGTTTAGAAGTCTTAAATTTTGATTATGAATGCTTCTAATTAATTTTAGTAACATTCATGTTAAATGTTATTCACTTTTAACAGGATTTAGAAAATGAGATTAAATTATTAGTGCATTAGAAAAAAAACTAATTTTAATCTTAAACAATTATTTATGTTCTGCTAGAAATTTGAAGTTATTTTTTTTATTGTTTTTGGTGCCTCTAGTGATGTAATCAAGAAGAATTTTTAGAACTTTTCAATTTTTACAAATGTAAAGGAGTATAAGAATTTGTTTATAATTTTTACTTATTATTATGTTTTTATTGATTTGGATGTTAATATATTTTATAGTTATACTTTTTATTTGATATTAAAATATTTTTACATTATCTTATATATTTAATAATATTAAAAACCAATCAATTCGACTGAATCACACCAATCCGATTTAAATTAGATTGGTTTGGTTATCACATAATAATGAATTGAATTGGTTTAAAAATTCTATTAACCGATTAAATTGAATTGATTTAAAAAATAATAAAATCTGAATCAAATCACACTATAAACACCTCTAGTGTATCACGTTAGCTATAAAATCATCTTAGCACAATTTGACTTGTTATAAAATAAAAAAATAAAAAAAAATAAAACCTATACATCAATTCACATGGATCTAAATAAGCGAGACAAGGACCTACATTGTTAAGTTGTTTAGGTGTCAA